GTGGGGGAAACTCCAAACGAGTAGTACTTGTAACCAGAGAGCACCATGTGTGCGCGATAATAACGACATTAAATTAAAATATTGTAATTCGTTTTTATGTCTTTTCGCGTGTGATTTTGTTCTAGTGCTCGTCTATTGTGTTTTTTTGTTGGCTCTGGTTTCCTGCTCACTTTTTTTGCTTGCCACTTTAGGATACCCTTCAATTCCCATAATTGGGAGAGCAATTAGTTGACGGGAGAATGAATAACGTTGAAAATATGTACCGTAGTTTTAGGTTCTCTTTTTGTTAGAAATTATACCTGTAACAAATAATTGTTCTTCGCCTGATGGACCCATGCTTGAGCTAAATAATTATCTAGAATTGGCTTATTGCTACCATAAAACGGCTGATAAGAGCAAGTTCTTGCTTTGTATTAAAAAATAATAGGATATCTGCTTGGTCGACTCTCCCCAATATTTTTGTTTTGCTCATGCAATGCGTTCTATATAAGCCCTCCCTTTGGTGTGGCAAACCTTCTCCCGGTCTAGGTTCCCCATATATTTATGGCCTAATATATTATATATTTATGTGTCTGTCATTTAATAAATTTTGCTGATAATGTCATAGACATCATCAGCGTAAAAATGACCTCCTCCTGCAAGGGGATGTGTGTGTGTTGTGGCTGCTGTTTTTTTTTGCTTCACATGATTTGCTTCATATGATTTGTGTTGGTCAAAAGGGGGTGAGCGGGGCTCTGACAACAGAGTTCAAGCCTCCCCCACATATAACAGAGAAGTCAATTTTTATTGTTGTCTTTATTATGATACATAAATTTGTGTTATCGGCTTTGCCTTCATGTCTTCTTTTTTCTTTGAGTAATTCTGGCTTCTGTTTTTCCTTTGGGGCAGGCATACTTTGGATATTTGGATTAAGTTCTTTTAATTGCAGGAGGATGTGTTGGTTATTTTGCTTTATTTAATAATATTCACTAAGAAAATTATATCAGTGAGAGTGAGAAGGGTAGTGTGAGACTGCGGAAATCCATGGTGTCACGAACAGTAACATGTATACGAAAATGAAAATACTTTCGGGTACTTAACGGCTTGTTCATTGACTTTTTTCTATACAAAATGGCTTACCGAAATGAATTGGAATTGTATTGTAACACTTTGCAGCATTTTCCGCCCATCATCTATCCATTGATGCAGCTTTTTTCTGGTCGCTAAAATGTTTGCTGACTCAGCACCAGGACCATCCACCCCAAACCCAAGCCTGACTCTGAGCTGTCAATGCTTTTGCTATACTGTTGTCCTTATTCTGCTATTTCCCCCATTTGCATATCACATTCACTTTTTTTTTGTTCTGTTCTGTTCTCTGTGCGTTCTCAAGTGGGATTCATTTCGATGCTCAAAAATTGTTGAAGAGCCTTCAAAATGTGAGCCATAAATAAGAAGAAAAAAATAAAAGGAAAATGCAGAAAGCAATACGAAAATGGAGGAAGGGAGTATGACACTGTACAAAGAGCTGCCTTTCTGTGTGCTCTGAATGCTTTTTTATTTGAATCGATTGTTGGCAATGAAGTCAATTACATAAACGATACAGAAAAGTACGAAAGAACAAGACGAGTGCCAAGGGAAAGGTGCAAGAGTGACGCGAAAAATCTGTGACATAAACGTGGAAGTTGGCTTATAGAAATTCACTCAATACCCAAAATGAGAGATACTTAACAAATAAAAGACACAAAAGAAAGGTGGAGATGACTACGGAGAAATAACAATAAAAACGAAAAGAACAACCACAGAACAAACAACGAGTACAGTAACGAGTAACGAGTAAAAACCCACAGCTTGAGCTCTTGAGTATATATTCTCCTGTCAGTCAACAGATTCATTCCACACGTGCCACGCCTACAGAAAGCATTCAGCCCAGCCCAGTTGTCCCACTGCCAACCTCTGACCCTTTGTGCACCCTCTTCCCTCTTTGGGCTGCCAATTTTCAACACCAGAGAGCGTCAAAGTGACGTGTCGTCTACCTTCCATCATTCACAGTCCTTCCCGTTCCCTTGTTAACCATTTCTCCACCCATTTTCCCCCCATTTCCATAAGTACCTTGACTTCCTTGCATTACTTTTGCTTTCTCTTTGAGGTTCTCCCGCTCTTTAGACTCTCTTTTGTATATTTTTATTTTTATTTATTTTTTGTTGGCTGTGTGAAACATTTAAAAGTCACTTAAGTGGAAATTAAAAAGAAATTATTCACTTTGGCACATTTCACAACATTTACATACACAGAGACAGACAGACACACACACAGGACGCACACATAGAGAGGCAGAGTGGTTTCCCAGCTTTTCCTCAATTGCTTTTTTATTTTTTCAGATTTGTTTGTTTGCTGTAATTGTTGTGGTTTGCCTCATTATTTGTGTCTGGGGCAGAGGAACCGAACCCAAACGTAAAGCTTCTCCCATCCACATTCCCATTTACCCATTCCCCCATTCCCCCATTCCCCATTTTAATTGTGGTTCATTTCCTGTCCTTCGAGTTTCGGTCCCTTGCTTGTGGCACATTTTACCCACATTTGACCACAATATTTTTGTGGAATTGCTCGCAAATTGTTTATTGCTGACCTCAAAGCTATTCGAGTGTTATGGCCAACAGGAGAAAACGAAATCCTCAGCCGTGTCCCAGCCACAGCCCGATGGCATCCTTAAGCTAAAATTTTAATTGCAGGTTGTGATTGAATTGAAGTCTAGGGATTTCCCAGTTCCAAAGAGCTATTCAGGAGAGCTCCAAGATCTGTGGAGGTGCGTATTATTTGTGGATTTAAGGGTGCGAATTAGGTGGGTAAACAGTGGCTCAAGAAAGTAGGGGGACACACTTACAGCTAATTTTATTGGCTTTTATGAGCTTAGACTTTAAGGTAATCCTGAATTCGTGGCCCACAAGTGGCACTCGAGCCTGAGACTCGAGATAGCTTGAAGAAAGGTCCAAAGGAGAAATTGTATTCAGTAATCGGCAGACTTTAATTGAGTATGAGTGATTTTCATGGAAAATAGATATTTATTTACAATTTCATAGCTTTTACTCATTTTGAACCTATCACAAAGGACTTTCGCAGAATTGTGTCCCTTGAAATATCTTAGCGTTCCCCTTTGACTGAATCGAGCGAGAACTATCCTAAATATTTGTGTCATGTTCAAAGAAAGCAAATCAACATCAACTTATTCATTGAAGGAGAAGGAATAATTTTCCAAAGGCTATGTGCCCAGTGCCTGCCACACTTTTCATCCCATCCAAAAATAAAGACAGAGAAAAGAGCAAATGGCAAATGGCAACAGCAGCACAAAAAATGGAAAGTAAATAATGTGAAAAGAGGAGGAAACATTCAGCTTCGTTGATGTCGACCCATTGACCAAGTTAAAAAATCCCAACCATCCCAGCGCCCCATTCATCTCCCCATTCTCGTGGCACATATAGGATATATGTGTAGTAGTAGAACCAGATGTAGTACATACACGTATGAGTTATGCAAAATGTATCTGTATCTGTATCTTTGCTCTCCCCACTCCTCTTGCCTATTTTGGCGTATTTTTTCCCTTTGGCTGCGGAGGCGAGCACTTCAAATGCGGTTTGGGGCCGCGGAATCAAGCGCCAAGAGACCTCATAAAAAACGACTAACGTGACTCCCACTCACAAATACACACACTCACACATTCATATTGAAATGCGGTCTGATGCCGCACACACAACACACAGATGCACTCAGAGAAAACGATCACAGAGAGCTCTTTAATGCGAATTAAATAGAAATTATATTTAACAACATTTCAGTTGAACATAAACATTTCAAAGAGTATTTTAAACATACACAAATGCTATTTTGAATACTATTTAAACTAAATATAAAACTCCCATTGTTAAATCTACGTGCATCCATTCGAATTTGAGTGCTCTTTTCTCTGTGTGTAGCACGAAAAGGGTTCAAAGTTTGACAGGAGAAGAAAAACCAAAACAGAAATATTTCGCTCCATTTTTTCTGTTCTTTTTTTCGCCCTTTTTGCCAGGAATTGCATAACCTTCTCATCGTCATAGTCCCCGGTAGAGTCGCCCCCATTTTCCGCAGAGCCCCACTGCTTATTGTGGTACAGCCCCGCAGCTTTATTTGGTTACCCATTCGGAGTGCTGCCAACTGGATGGATTTCTCTCTTGGATGCTACTGAAAATTGGAACAACAAGAATGGCAGGAAGAGTGCTTAACAGGGAACAAAAACTATGGGAAATATTTTGGGTTTAAATAAGAATAGAGAAATAGTATTCTGAGGGGACTTATTGATGCAGCATTTCATCCTTTCGTAGCTGCAGCTGTAATTTGGGGCTGCCATGACGACACACCAACCACATCAACCCAACAGCTGGAAATAGAGTGGAGTGGGAGGGGGACAAACTGCGCGAATCCTGCCACATATGGTGCATCATCGCATCGCTGCCAACCGAAAATTCTCACTCAATGGATTCAAGACCAGAAAGAGCCAGAGACACAAAATATTACGCAGGGATTGTGCCGCACGACAACTGCAGACTCGAGTGGCATGACGCACGAGTAGGAGTGGGGATGTAGGGATAATGCGGTGGCAGCAGGATGCACTGCATCCAGGCAAAAAGTTCATTAATCTAGTTACAAGTTCGCGCAGACAGTTCGCATAATCAATCAATAGACACACGATGGTGAGGTCGTGGGGATGGGGGATTCGAAAGGATATCGACATTGCCATGCGTTCGTAGGCGTGACTGTTCGAGGGGGGCGTGTGCCAGTGTTTTTCTGCGGTTTCAGCCCCCATGACTGAGTGACAGGAACAGGAAAGCATTTTGCAGCAAGCTGCCCCCGGGACAACTTTCGGAATGGCCTTGATGGAGCGAAAAACTTGCAAGAGAAGACCGGAAAAGGACGGCAAATGATTGGGGGAAATAATTTCTGTTTAATTTTAAATTTTCTTAAGATTTAAAGTTTTTGTTTTGAGAAGACTAGGAGAGTGTGTCCTCCTCCCCTTTGTGTTGCTTCTGCTTTGCTGAGATCTCTGGAAATTCGACTAGTTTTGGCTCCTCTACTATGGCAGGCATTTCTTGGGCTTCCCCATCCGGATCATCAGCGGTGTGCTGAGCAGATGTTTGATATTCTGCCTGGGACCCTGAGGTCCCTTGCTCTTCTGACACCAACTCTGTGGCATCCGAGTGAGTGTGACCTCCCCTACAGCCGCAACCACAGGCGGCCTTCATCTTCCTTTGGCGATTCTCTGCCCGCACCTCGGGATGTCCAAAACAGTGCTCGCACTCGTCATCCGTTTCGGAGGAGCTCTCGCCGAAGGGGTGCGGCTTGTTGTAGATGCAACAGCACTTGGACTTGCGACGATTCATGTTCTCGTTGTCGACAACATCAACGTGGAAGGTAACCCGACGGGTCGTGTCGGGACGTCGCAGAACGAGACGCAGTGTGGGTTGTGGCATCGCCATTGGCTCTGATGCAATCGTCTGATTAATGGTCGAAGAGATGGAAGCGCTAGCAGTAGCACTGCCGATGCTGCAGGCCACTGTACCGCCACCCATGGATTGGACGATACTACCGCCATAGTTGGTACTCGTAGAGCTGGCAGGTACTTCTGTGCTGCCATTTTCAACGATGCGTACCTTTGGCTTGATTTTAATCTTCATCGATGGAGCGGGCTCCTCTGCGTTCTTTCTATCCAACTCGGAGTTCTCTTGCGGATCCATTCCAAGGTAAAAGCTTTTTGTAGATTTCCTTGTAAATAATTTGTTCCGAAACGTTGTTGGTGTTTTGGAAGTATTTTAGCTGAATGCTTCAGAAGGTTGAAAGCCTACTTGGATTATTTGTATATAACATACGTAGAAATTGTCTACTGAAATGTTGAATTGAATTGTCATTTCATCTATCATCTATCGATCTTTGTATAGATCAATCTTGTAGCTCTCTCCTTAAACTCCTCTAGTGTCCATTGATAAATGAATAACGTGTACAAATCCTTACTTTCGTTGTTCATCGATCACTTTGATAGCATCCCTGAAATGCACCAAGTTTGCTGACCTTTCCACCTCTCTGTCTTTCTCTTTTTGTCGCGTCTCCATGCCTTTAGCCGCAGTCATTTTGGCTGCCAAAACATGCGCACGATTTACGTCAATTGGACAAGCGCCAGGACCCCGCCTTAACCCCGCAATGCCCACGCCCCAGCACACCCATTTAACCCGCAGCATCGCTCTGCCACCTTCACCCAGCAGCCACTACTCCGCTTTCCGCTCACACCACCCTTACAGGATTCTGCCACTATGGGGCTCTATGTTTACCTAAAATGCAATTCTCCTTTGCCCGTTGCAGTTTTGCATTTATTATTGAGAGAGGCTGTCGGTGGGTGGATGACTCGACTGTGTGTGTGTATGTGTGTGTGTGTGTGAAAGCCATTTTCCATTTTACTTTACCACTTTTGCCTTTGAAAATTGCACAAAAAAACCTGCTCCCTCTATATAAATATATACATATATTTCTGCTATTTTTTTTTTTATTTACGCATGGCAAATAAATGTTGAAAATAATATGAAGGGAGGGGAGGCATGGGAGGAAAGGTTGGGAATAGAACTGGGTGCCACACTCTGGGGTTAAGGAACTTTTTGCCCGGTTTCGGCTTCGGTTTTCGGTTTCGTCTTCATTCGTTCATGCTCTTTTGCCGACTCTCCTCTCCTCCTTTTTTGGCTGTCGCTCTGGCCACCATGTATTTTACTTCATGTCTGCGTTTATCTGGCATTAGAAGCAAGAAAAATTATGTTTGCAGTTTGGACCACAGGCGGTCGGAATGGATCCCAGATGGTGGGTAGGTACGGGAGGGGCGGTCGGTGTTGCTCTGTCTGCTCTGCAGAAGATAATAAAAAAGAAGCCGCAGCGTCGCAGCATTTTTCGGAGCCAAAAACCAAAACCAAAAACCCAACCAAGCCCAAGCCAACGACCCTGAATGAAAAATTATGCTCAATGTTGTTTGAATAGTTAAGTTTTCCCTTCAGGGAGGTGGCTGGCTGGTCGTTCGGCTCGGCTCCGGCTCCGGCTCCGGTTCAAGAGCAAAGCTCAGAGCGGCAGAGATAGCGCCTCTTCCGTATCTCGCTCTGCCTGTTTTCGGTGACAAATGTGTCGCCTGGCATGCAAATGTAACTTTAATTGATCGATAACTTTCGACCAAGTGGCGATAAATAAGCCAAGCCAGGGCTGGTCTTCCCAGAGTTATCGATGACGGGGTTCATTCCATTATACGCCGTTTAGCGTTTGCCGGACAGGACAGACAAGTTGTCCTGCCCTATTGCGTTTCCCTTATTTCCAGCTCGGTGTGACAGAAAGTTAGTCACTTGGAAACATTTAAGCGAATAGAAAAGTATTCTCTTGTAGGAGAGAAAACTCTCCTGAGCTGTGCAAAAAAAAACCAGAAGGGACGCAGTAATTGCATTCTTGCTCGTTTTATTATGAACCTTCATATAAATTTATTTTAATGTGCAGCTTCATAAATCTGCATGGAATGAAATCTAAATACTTTCTCAGAAAAATGTCACAGTGAAGAATGTATTTTAATCAACTATCAACTATCAATCAACTCCAAATTTAATTTCATAATTATTCCCAATTCTTGATGTTTTCATAATTAATCTTTGTGGTTTTAAGTGATTGATTTTCCCTAAATTTTGAGGCACGTGTGTTTCTCCTGTTCCTTCGCACTCACTCTGTTTTCCATTCCACTACGCTCCCCACTTGTAACGATTGTAGGGGTTGTCTGGTATGACACTCTGTTTAGGATCATCTAAAACTATTTGCAGCCCATTGGACTAAACGCTTTGCGGTTGCTCCTAACGCACTTAACGGGCAAATAAAAGTGTTCGTTCCTTTTCCGGGGCAGCGCAGAGCAAGAGGATGCCGGGAAGGAGAATGACAGGGCATGTCCAAAGCAAATCCGAAAGCCCCCTGATGAGCCTGTGGCCATAACTTCTTTCTGTGCCATTGAAATGAAATCTAAAATTCATTACGCATTTTATGCGTCAAAAAGAGATTGGGGAAGATGGAAGCTAGAGGCAGAGGCAGAGGCAGAGGCAGAGTGCAGAACTCGACACGTAATGAGGCGCGTGCCTCGTCTCAACCTCTCACCAGAACTCTGCCTCTTGCCCAGGAGATGTTTTTTGGGGGGGCCAAATGGCATTTATGTCCCAACGGAGACACGCACAACGCGACGACAGCAACGCCTTTGACTGACTGTGCCTTCGCCTTCACAGCAGCCGCCTACGCCTTCGCTTCCGGGTTTTCTCCGGATCCATCTCTGCCACGTCGGGTGGCATCTGCGCGAGCAATTTACCCGCCGGAATTGTAAGCTCAAGCGTCCGTGTCTCCTTTGTCGCTGGGTTGTCTTTGGGGAATAAGATGAATTACATGCTACTTGGGGGCAGCTTCTGGCAGCAGCTTAGACAGCGACAGACAACTTAGACTGCCGCGATACTGTGATGCTGCCACACAGTAAGCGATACGTGGAGGAATGGAGCCTTGCCAACCTTGCCACTTGAGTCCTAAGTTGGTGTCAGAGTGGACCCACTCTTTCTCTCTCTTCTGCTCTCTGCTTGTTTGGGTTCTCTATTTCTCATCCTGATTGAGGCCGCTGGGCATGCAAAATCATGTAGATAACGCTCTGTACGCACAAAAGGTAACAGAAACTAAATCCCCCAAGCAAATAGTTTCCCTGCCGGGCACTTTACTTCCTTTCTTCTCTCTCTTTCATGGAAACACGGGGCCAAAAAAAAGCAAGGAAAAAAAGAGGGAATAGAACGGATGCAGAAGGGAAACAATACGAGCAGTGGAAAAACACACACAGAGCGAAGAAACTAATGGAGGGAAAAACCATTAGAGAAAGGAATTTTAAACGGCAGGAATTTTCAGGCTAAATAGCTTAAGGGAAAGCAACTTAAATGGAAGGAAGTTTAAACAAAATAGAGTAGCCCTCAGAGTAGGAATCTTGAGTGGGAAAACCTTTAATCTATTACTAGAAACCACAGCGCAGACTCTTAGGGGAAGCCTTGTCAATCTATAAAAAGTATAAACCTTATACTAAAAGCCTAATAGAAAGATCTTCAAAATAAAAACAAGAAATATCCTCGAAACCCCTTCAATGTGGTTACCCAATGGGAGCTGCAATAAATAAATATCTCAGCCGATCAAAAAGTATGTAAAAAAAGCTTACAGGGCTGCCACCCCATGCCGTTAAAGATTTATGGAAATTTTTGCGGTTAACAATTTCCGCTGAAGCAGTGTGCAGTGGGAAAAACATCGAGAGACAGCAAATGGAGAGAGGAGAGAGAGAGAAATCAACCGCACGGAAATCATGTCTACGCATCATTCTTTGTTCGCTTGGGCTATTACTTTACCAATCCCCCCCACCGCACCCACACTACACATAGCATAGCATTGCCCCTCCCCATCACCGTGGCACTCCACAGTCTGTAGTACTATATCTTTTTTTCTTTCTCTCTCTCTCTCTCTGTGGGGGGATTCCTGTATTGTATTTGGTTTGTGGAAATGTGTGATAAGCAGTTTCCGCCTGGGAATAGAGCAAAAACCAAGACCAAAGCCGAGAGCAATTCGAGGGCGAGATAAAGCAGGGAATATACACATGCATGCACACAGACACATACATACATACGTATATGTAAGAATTTAAGTACATATGTATGTATGTGTGAGTATAGTTCTTTGAATGCCTAGTCGTAGTGCCCCGTTCCCATGTACTCCTTTTGCCTTGCTACTTTTCATAGGCGTCGAACTGGCGTGTCCCAAGAATTCCTGGAATGCCAGGAGCACACTCCCATGGGTTAGGCGTGGGCTAGGGGGTGGTAGAAAGGGGCAGGACCCGGTCCGGAAGCTGTGGCTACTAATGCAAATATAATGGCAAATGTTTCGGAAATATATTTCACAGATAAAATTGATAAAGAATGCCTCCTCCTCCAACAAATCCCCTCCCCATTCTATTGTATTGTATGCGGCGGCAAGCGGAAAACTATTTGCTCACATTTTTTCCAGCACAAACACACCCACACAAAGCAAAGAAAAAGAGACAAAGGAATTGGCTAGAAAAAGAAAACATCTCCAACAGCAGGAGACGAAGACTCTCTCTTCTCTCAATCAGTTAACGATTGTATGAACAACTTATGGGCTGAGTGTGTGGGGGCTCGTATATTGTGAGCCACTTTCGAACACTTTTCTTCTTGCAGTTTTTCTTAAATCTTCGATTCTGCCACAAGGAGTTGTGGGGTGTTCTACATTTAATGGATGTTTTTAGCTACTCACACCTCTGTCTAATCAGAATTATGAGCTATGAATGTTTCAATTATCCTCCGAGTTTCTCTTACTTTTAAGCATCAAATTGAATGGAGAATCTCCCTGGGTAACTCCGATCTACTCTCTACTCATTTTATTTTATTTTCTCCGACTTACCGTTGCTCCGGATCTTTTGTTGCCTTAAATTTTTTAATGATTTAAAAGGCAGGACTCCTCCGTCTTTTCTATTTGGTTTAATTTCCTGAATACCCTTTAGGGGCTTTACAAATTTCATTTAATCATTTAACTATTTTTATTTTTAAACAAAAGAATTTTAAGACTATGGAAATCCTTTTCTCCTTAGATTTGTTCAACTTTTGAATGTTTCCACTATTGTCAGAGCATTCTCCCAACGCCCTTTCCTTCCTGTCTAGTATTCCTTTCTGTCTGTCTGTCTGTACGTCTGTCTGTGTTTCATTCAACTACTTATTTGTATGA